GTAATAAAAATCAAACGGTGTAGCATTTGTTTGCCCGACAGTAGGTGAGAAAAGTTATGCTGTAGAAAATGTATTTCCCCTGCAACAGTGCAAAAGATAAAGACTTTCCGGCTTGGTATCTTTTTGCCCTCAGGGTGATGCTCTTTTTTTCCCACCTGCCTGTCTGGGTAAAAAAAGCAGTTTTGCAAGGTGATATCATACTTGCTATCAGTTCTCGAAAATTATATGTCAATCTAACTTACCCTGATATGTTTCTATGGAGAAGACTGTCAGGAAGTACGAGTACCCCAGCTAGGGACAGTGCAGTTAAATGCTCCTCCTGTGCTCAGGAGATTCTGTGTTCTGTGGAAGGGAGACAAGTACTATACAGGTGAGAGGTTATTTCCTCTACAGTGACAATATGTGTAGAAAGAGATGCTATCGGGTGCTACTTTTAATTGGGTGAATTTGAGGACATGCTGTGCATAAGTGTATGTTTGTGTTCGATTGGTGGGGTATCATCACAGTGTCTGGTCATACTTATGCTTGAACTAAAACTTATTTTCTTCGTGCACTGCACAGACTCGTGTGTGGTAATTGACATTTAGTGTGTTTCTTGCAGTTTTTTAGTGGGGGTTAATCCTAGGGCATGGACTCCTAGCATGGTCCGAAAGCTGCTGTCACTTGTCCAATACGGATACAGTGGCAATGCAATAGTTCAAAGGTCAGTAATGGACTGGGGGAATAATTAAGAGTTGTGCCACAAAACTGTAGTTTTAACAATGTCCTCATACAAGTTGACCTTGTGGCTCTCCAGCCTTAATGAGCACGGGGACCGAAGAAAAAATAAGAGAAGAACAAAATCATTATTTTGAAAATGAAGTCCTTTCTTAAAATACTGCCTGCAAGTCTCTTCCCCCCTCTATTCCCATCTCTCTTGTGGCCCTTTTTTTTTCTTTCTATCTCTTTGTATTTTTCTCTGTCTCCTGTCTGTTCGCATACAGCTCTCAGGACTCCGTGAGCTAACTGGTGATAAAGAAACATTCTGGATGGGAATTCTGATGCCGTTGACCATTGACTCCGTCTGTCGGGATGTTTCCTTGGAAGGCAATGTGAGAGGCTTTATCTATCAAGTGCAGGCATGTGTTTATGTCTGATATCGGAAGGGTTAGGGCCGCTTGAAATGTTCAATTAACATTAAAATGTGCCTATGACATAATGCCAAGCACAAAGAAGAGGAGAACAAAAGCTCCCAAATTGCTCTGGGAATTCAGCTTGAAAAAAAAAGACTGAGAAAGTCTAATGTTGTCCTAATGTTTGTGTTGGATGAGGAGCAAATATGAAGACATTTTAAAATCAGCTTTGTTTTTGTGCATTGTTTCCTTCTTGTGTGTGATAGCGAAAAACCAGTTAGGTTCTGAATGCAATCTCCTCTGCTTTCACTGCAATCCCAAAATCACTTCATCTGTATGAGATTGAAAAAGTGAGGGATACCAGGCCTCCTCATTTTCTCAAGTTTACTTGTAATGGTTTAGTAATAACTTCCCAGCTCCCCAAAGTTATTACATTCTTTATTCTCTTTGCTATGGCAAGAAGACCAAAGAGATGAAAAAAATGTAAGCGCTTCCTCCTTTTTCAGTGATGTTTGTCAGCTCTAAGAGGAGCGTTAATGATTACTGTATTTTCAACCTGGTATCAGAAAGATGACATTCATGGCTACTGCTGAGGACCATGATGTCCTTGATGAGTTGGCAGAACATATGAAAACCACCTAAGTCGTGAAGTTGAACGACATGCAGTTGTAGCAACACAACCATGACATGAGGGTCTTCTTTTATCTCAGTGACCTCACCTTCATGGCCAAGTCCCCCTGACTGGGGAGAGTGATTAGTGTGGTTTCACAAATCAACCTCCTTGAGCTATATGTAGTGTTCTTGGTCCTCCAGCACTTCAGACCCCTGATACGAGGGATGTATGTGATGGTGAGGACCGACAATCGCACCACTGCGGATTATATCAACAAGCTGGGTGAAATTAGTTCCGATGCCCTGTTGGGTATGGCGGAGAGCCTGTGGTTGTGGGCCTCAGAGCACCTGTTGTCTCGGAAGGCTCTCCGCAGTCTAGAGAACGAGGGTGATGTGTTCATGTTGAGAGGCTGACACCTACCAGATGAGTGGAAGCATCACCCAGAGGTGGAAAAGAGGAAGTGGATCTGTTTGCTAAACCCCCCTCTGGCCACTGTATTAATCCATCCCTGGCAGTGGATATATTTGTACATGTGCCATGGCCAAAAAAGCTGCTTTACGCTTTTTTCCACTGCTCCACTCCTCCTTTCCTGTTGGGGAGTGAGGCAAGAGCAGTTTTAAGGTCATTCTGTTAGCCCCAGGTCGCTGCTCGGCGCTATGGTATGCGTACATTCCTAAGATGATGGCCCAGCCCTGGACCATCCCCTAGTTCTGGAGGGCACTGTCTCAGGAAGCGGGTGCGATAGGAGCGTTGCCCACCCTGGGCCATCCTCTCCAGGCTTGACTCCTCAGAGGGACAGGCTCAGGGGGGCTTCACTGTCTTTGCAGGTTGTGCAGACCATCCAGGCGGCAGGAGCGGTATTCACCATTGCATGTTAGGGGAAAAGTGGTCAGGGTTCCAATGCAGATGCATGGAAAGGAGGCTAGATCCCCTGTCCTGTGCAGTTGGGTCTATTCTCTCCTTTTTACAGTGTTTGGTGGATAGAAGGCTGTCTCATGTCAATGTTTAAGTATATGCAGCAGCCATTTCTTCATGCCACCAGACCAGTCTTTGGCCACCCTCTTGTGGCGCTGTTCTATCAGAGGGTCAGTAGACAACGCACGGTGATACCTGCCTCCCCCAATGGCAGTGAAGGGTCTCTTTGAGCCTCTGGAGCATTCTTCTCTGAAGGCGTTGTCCTTCAAAACAGCTTTGCTGCTTGCAGTGACCTCAGCTGAAAGAGTGTGTGACAGTCCTGTAATCTGTAGTCTGTGCATCCCAGTTGCTTGCTGCGTTATGGGGACTATAGCTAGGCTACCTTCAGACCAAATCCCTCCTTTGTTCCAAAGAACCTAAGGAGTTATTTTTGGTCAAAGGTTATACAGCTGAATGTTTTTTTGTCTTCCCCCCTATGTGGGGGACAGGGAGACAAATTTACATCTGCTTTCCCCAGTTTGTGCATTGGCATGTTTTGTTGAACACACAGACCCCAATGGACAGCTGTTCATGTGCTTTGGTAATGTTGTTGTCAGCCCTATCCAAGACATGCCTAGCACAATGGCTTAGTAAGTACATGTTCCATGCCTATACGAAGGCGAAAAAAGACCCTCCTACTGTGGTCTGCGGAAATTTGACCTGCAGCTTGGCATTGTTGGCGGTCTAGTCTGGTGGGGTGTCAAGAATATATGTACGGCAGCTTCCTGTTTGACGCCTTCTCCATTCATACGGTTCAATAAGAATATATACAGATGTTTGAAAGAGATGTTTTCACAGCAATAAATAATACACATAAGAGAGGTAATTATGACCTGTTTAACTTCCTAACATTAGCTCTAAGCAGAGTACAGTACAAACAAAACGGCTAAATCCAAGATTTGGGATTCTTTTATTTGTTAATCCTTTGAATGGTGTGTTTTTATGCTAATAACGCTAACTTCAGAGAGGTTGAAATTATATTTGGGACCTGGAGCCTTGTATACCAGCTGCTATACCAAAACAAAACAACAAAAATAATATGTGTCAGCCAACGCGGATCATCAGCAATCGGTAATTGGTATTGGCAAAAACATGTGTTCTGGGCATTTAAAAGTTATATTTGTTCCTTTTTTCTTATGTGCTGATCCTAACTGATCCATGACTCAAAACCGTGATAAGATCTGAACTGTGACTTTTAGGATCAGATGCAACCTATTAGAATGATTTCAATAATCAAAAAAGTGCTTATTTTAAAAATAACTAATTATTACACAATACGCTGACATTATTATTATTCTACTTTTTTTGCTTATTTTATGTCATAATCATACCATAATGAAATAGTATTACATCATGCACAAAACCTTAAGTAGGCTATATCCTCATGGTTTCCTCAAAAGATGTTTTGAGTATATGTTTACATTAGTGATTTTGATGACCGGTATTACAGTATTTAAAACTACATCTCACATAAAATAATTCCATTAAATGCAGACTATTGTACATTTTATTTACTTAAAGGTAATGATGTTGCCAATTTTTGAGTTATTATTTCATTTTCATACAATGAAACGTTCCGTATCTTGTTCACAGATGATACATTTAGTTTACACTGCCTGTTGAAGTGTTGTTCTGCTGCCCGACATTACTTTCCCACTTCACAAAGCTGAAAGTCACAATACTCGTCTGCTGTAAATATGCCAGAAGCTTTGGTAGCTAATGATCACAGCAGTTTGAGGATGTCTGTCACCCCTTATCACCCTGGTGGGAGAAGACAAATGTTAGGAGAGCTAATTCAGCATGCACAGTCTTCATCACTGGCAGGCACTGGGTAGGCAAAGCTTGCCAATCATCAGAGCAATTCCAACTTTCCTTAACTTTCAATAACTAGGCCACGACTTTTTTAAACAAATACAAATGTTCTTTATTAGAGCAGAGTTTTAGTTGCCCCTTATCTATCTAAGTTTTGTCATTGTTTATTTAGTTTTACCCGGGATATGAGATTCATTGCTGTTATATTGGTGTTATCTTAATGGCACATTTCATCAAGGCTTTGTTTTGTCATCTTAAAATCTGCATGTCTCGTACAGTCAACATGTTAACATATATTTAAACTAATTCTGGCTCAGAATGTACCTGGTGGAAGTAATTATACATACTTGTTGAACTGGATTTTGCACAGTATTTTCACCAACCTTGAGAATCTTAGGCAAGGTGAAAAGGTAACCACTTAATAAGTAATATCACATTCCTCCCAACAGTATGACGATGTACAAACCATGATGTGTGATAAGCACAATTTGTGATAGGAAGTAATGTACCTGCTTCTACAGCCCTCACTGTGATATTGTGCCATCCTGCGGTCTCTCGGTCCAAAATCTTTTCCAGTGTGATGGCACCCGATCCAGGATCGATATGAAAGATCATCTCCTGGTCCGTGGTCCGATCGATGGAGAACCTGTAACAGCATACACGAGATAAGACATAGATGTTAAAGATAAGAAGCTATAAGTGAGAGGAAGGTGAGAGTCAATAATTATACAGGAATCTCAATTTTTAAGTAATTTTATGAAGTTATTCATTTTTTGCTTCTTAAAAAAGGACTTGGAGATTTTACTTCGGAATGCACTAAATAATAACAACTCATATAGAAGCGGCCAGGGTTAAGGTAATTATAATTTAAAAACATTTACCGGATACTTGTCGCCAGTCGAGTGACCCTAATATTGCAATGTGTCTCTTAACTGCAAGTGGCTATAGCACTTTCTCTGCCTATTCAGAGTAAGAATATAATCATTAAATTGTCATTGTGCGCTCTAGAAAAAAACACAAATGCAACTTTCCTTCCTGGGGTACTGGGTGCTGGGTAAAGATTGGTGAGTCAACAAAAATCCGCTGAAAGGTTTCTTTGTTCTTAGTTACACACACACACACGCACACACACACACACACACACACACACACACACACACACACAGTTGGTTGGCTTACTCATGCCCACATAAACCATAATAATGTCCCATGGGCATTATAAGCTCTTAAGGCCCCTCTGACAAACATGCCAGCCAGCAGTCTCCTGTATCATGAAAATGACGGTCACATGTATATAAAAAAATTATTTCAAGAGAACTATATGCTATATGCAGCAAAAGGACTAAAAAGGTGTCTGATCACACATTAATTTTCAAAATAGTGTGGATGTAGAATTGCATTGCATATTCGTATTTAAATCATATCAGCACATGTCATTATATGAAATATTTCTTTCACTGTTTATAGTTACAATGACCTGAAGATAATCTGCTCTGGGAATTCATCTGAACAGTCAACATTTAGTGAACCATGTGTTTAATATACTGAACAAGGGTTACACACAGTGATACAAACAGCCTACGTGTATGTGTATGTTCATTCTATCTGTCGGTGTACAACACTGCTTTAAATGACATTGCATCATATTCAGGGCAGTGATTTGATTTGGCTGAAATACATTTATGCTGGTCATTAACACTCCAGAATAAACAATTACAACAGATTTCTATCTCCTTTAACACAGTTTGAATAGTCCCTTTCACCCTTTGTAAACAATGATGCGCGGGGAGTTCGACAACGGTAGTACAGCAGAGTGCAATAGCTTGTCAAGCTAGGCAAGGACATTAACAACCAAAGATCACAGATGCAACCTAAACAAATTGATCAGTGTTTAGAATACAGATATATGTGTATTTGTTGGAGAAACCTAGTGTGTAACATTACACCAGCAAGAGCAAGCATACAAGTCACTTGATGCTTGCAACTATGTTATCTGTGGTCATTTACGCTACGTCAAATACCATGGCGCTTTGTAGTGGCCACTGAGATTTAAAACTCAATAAACTCAAAACAAACATGTTCAATAGCTTGCAGCTATAGATGCCACAGGTGTTTGGGTTTAACGAGTGACCGTGTTAACCGGTGACTCTCAGCCGACTGTGTCCATGTTTGCTCGAAGTGACGGCAGTTGAGGAAAACAGAAGATGTAGGTTTTCTCTAGTATAAGCCTTCAATCAATTTCAAATACATAACTCATCTGTCTTTATTATCTACGCCAACCAATTACACAAGCCACTCTTTGCAACCACGGGCACCAGCTAACATAGTCATTTGTTTAACTGAAAAAACCTGGTGCTCTGAAACGGTCATAATTTCGTAGAAGTTTGCTGTTTTTGATGATGTCTGCTGTAAAAGGGTCTATTGTGCTGGCGATATCTTGTTTTATCTTTGTTTTTCTTTCAGTACAGTCCAGTTTTCAACAGTACAAAAAAACAACTCTTAATTGGTTTTGGCCATCCGTGTCTCCCTACGTGCATACCATCACTGTTGTTCAAAAGTAAACAAAAAATGATCCTTGGTTTCCAGTACATGACAGTTTTTGTGGGATGAGAGTAGGGGGACATCATCCCTATGTTTTTAGTCTCTTAACAATCCTTTGAGTCTTTTCACCATTGGGATAAAATATGCACTTTCTTTCCAACACAAGACGCCTACATCGCAAAGACCAAACTTGGCTGCGTCACACATGGTTACTCACATCCCCACCACAGGCTAAGTAGTATTTGTGTCCTTTAAACTAGAGAAATTGTTTTATCTTGTTTGTTTTGCAAGACCTTTTGACAAGTGCATCTGCCAGAAGTTTGATAACCTGCTTGCAACGTTGTATGTGAGACTTTCTCTGTTTTAGTTGTTACATGAGGAGTGGTTCCAATTGCAGACCTCTTAGCAATAGAGGGCATAGTCTTGCTGATCAGATCCACAGCGCAGGCATATTTTGCACTAAAACCTCATCACTCAGGGTGCATGATTATGCAGAGTTCAGAGATGCTTAACGCCAGAGGCCACAAGCTCACTAACTTTGCCCAGTAGGTGGCCTCTAGCCAACTTCTCTCTCTCTCACCCACTTATCCACTAACTGAAACACATGCACACACATAAACACACACACATGCACACACACGCACACACACTCATATATGCTTGTACACGTGTCACACGCACAATTTCAGCTCCAGGCTGCCAAGACACTGGTGAACGACAGCTCTGCCATTGTGTTGTACTTTATTACACCTGAAACTCTGAGCCTCATGCATTTTTAATCGAGGTAATTTGCACAGGCACTGCGTGTCTCTGTGTGTACTCTGTCAGTGAGACTGTCTTAGCCCTTATCTACATTCCCCTCTCACACTGCAATTGCTCATCTGAGGACATATAAACCATAGACCTTGGTACAGAAGATTACCAGACGATATTGATTTTATCACACACAGTGATCTGAGAGCAAGAAGAGACGTACAGCGCAGCTTCATCCGTTGTACAAGTCCCACTATTCACCGTTTGCTTGGGCTTTCACTCCATCTTTCAGAGGAATTGTTAAAAAAGGAAAAAAAAGGAAAAGCTACCTGCGCATTTCCTTGCAACTAGTGAGTTATTGTTCTTTAGAGTTCGATTTTTCATAGTAGACATTTTGTTCAAAAAAAAACACGATCTATTGTCGTAAAGTAATATACAGTTCATGCAAGGTGCACTAAGTGCACAACTGTAGGTTTGTAGATTGAATGTCCATGTGACAGTGCTGCAGAGTCCAAGTCATATAAAAACAAGGTAGTCATTGTCATGCAAAACATTGCTCTCTAATATTAGTATTCCATTTGAGCAGTAATCTTTCCACTGCAATAGTTTATTGCCAATGTTTTGGTTGATGTATTTTATCAGACTACCCACTGTTGCGAAAAGCACCTGTGTGCCTACAGTATCTAAGTACTGTTTTGATATTATCTCTACAGTTTCAATCTTTCAGAGACAAAAGAGTTTCATTAATGGCACATTTAATATGATCATCAAATAAAATCATAGATTCACACCAAAGCAGCCTCAGTATTACTGGGTCAGAAGAAATTCTCTCCTTTAAAGCGCCAGTCTGTATTTTCTAAGCAAGGAAAATCCAGCGATTGCTTGCATCCGAACGTGCGTGCATCAGTGAGTGAGTGAGTGAGTGAGTGAGAGGGTGAGTGACTGTGCACCTCTTGTTTCCATAGCTAATATTGCATTCTGCTGCAGCTAATGGAACTACACACACAGCTATTCCTTGCCTTTTTATAGGGCTTCAACCTCACATTTACACGTTTTTGCCTAAATAATTGCTTGATTATGAGCTGGAGCTGAGACGCGCCTTCACAGAGGCGGTGCAGGAATTAGCTGCATAGATTAAAATGAGAGGGTGTGAGACGTGCAAATAAAGTACAGGTCTGATACAATTTCGGACCAAACGGGTAGATAGACAATTGTGAGTTGTGTCCATTCAGTCACACCATACAACCTGGCGGTGATCTGCCCTCTACTGACTGCCCCTTTATAGTTGTCTCAGTGGCAGAGGTTTGCATTCCATTGTGGACCCTGATTGTGTTAACACATTGTCCTATGTTATCCATATGGACAAAGTACACACCGATCAAGGTTTGAGAATATAACAAACATGTAAAACTAACAATTCACATGTAACTCAAGGGACTGAAATTTTGCCATAACCTTTTTTTCTGACACAACAAGTAGCTCAAGTCTGGTAAATATTCTACCATTCTAACAGTAGGATGAGTTCTTGGTGATTTGGCCTTAGAGCCCTTGCCATACCTGACAGGTTTATTCTTCACATCTGGATCCCTGGCAGTGATGATGCCAACCGTCGCTCCTACTTTTGCATCCTCCTGCACCTCCATGATAGTGCCCTCTGCTGGTTGAAAGATGGGTGGCTCGTCTATGTCCGACACACTGACGCGAACAATGGTCTGGTCTCGGAAGGAACCCAGGTCTACGAAGCGAGGGTCAACATGCTTATTTACTGCCTCCACAACAACATTGTGTGTGCGCTTGCTCTCGAAGTCCAGTGGCTAAAAGAAAAACAAGATTCTGTTTCAAGATTGTTTCCTTTAACATAAGCCATTTAAAGTGGCATCATGTGTAGTACTGACACTGATGGCCATAATATTGTAACAGTACTAATGAATGATAGCAGCACTTAGCCAATGTATTAGTGTACACTACTGGTGCAACGGATCATAAAACTCAACGTTCGGCTCCAATCACGGGTCAGAGTCACGAATCGGATCAGCACAAAAGCAAAAAGGCAGCAAATATAACTTTTAGTGATCCCTGATCACGTTTTTTTTTTGCCGCTGATACTGATTGTCAATCATTGAAGATCCATATTGTTGTTTCATTATAGCAGCTGGTCTACAAGGCTCCAGACTCATTTTAATCACATATTTTACTGAATATTGTCAGATAACGATCGTCAATAAACTTTATTTCTCACCGCAGTGGTTAACGTTAAACTGTGTAATTAATCCGCAGTTCACGTGCGTGCCGAACTGCGACGAGTAATCCGTACGGATCAACCGTGGTCCGTTACACCACCAGTGTACACGTATTGCTTCTCGTTCGAGTTGATGGATTCTTTCCAGTTATTGTTGCGTCTGCATCACCAGCTTACCACTAAGTCAACACCGTTGGTAGCTAAAAAGATAAGACATCGTTGACAGTCCATTGACGCAAAACACTTCTGCTGGCTGAATATTGCATGTCCATTCTGCTATTCGGCCTGATTCACAACAAATATGTGTCACTTAGGAGAAACACTTTTGACATCTGTGTATTTCAATGAAAAGATACTACTGCTAGCATTCTGCATTTTTGTTTAAGGTTTTGAAGAAACTCGGCACAGACAGTACCTGTCAGGCCCCAGTGCGAAACTAATGATCATCAATCATCAAAGACCAATCATCTCTCTTTCTACATCTCCTCAGACGTGCATTGAGTTTCTCTGTCGGGAACAGGGCCTATTAGTTGTTCAGCTTATTGACTAAAGAGATTTATCTGCTGTGAGCAAAAAGACCCGAAACTGGTTTTGTTGATTGTCAAGCAGCAGATGCCCAGTCACTTGCTGATTTCTAGCCAAAAGAATCCCAATCACTTTTCATAGGATTGTACCATATATGGTACATATATAAGGATTGGTGTGTGTGACAAGGAAGCCTGATATAATATTTAAAAGATTCATTTAAAAAAAACTAGCATACCTGGTGATGGTAGCTACTTAGATTTTTGAGTTACCCTTTTCCAGCGCAAACACGCCATCTCTTGATTCTCGTTTATAATTTGAAACAGAGGAAGGAATATCTCTAAGCCTGATCATTTACGTCATTGGTGGCATGCTGTGGAGGAAAGACACTGAATAAGAAGATATTGTGTTTGCAATGAAAAGTATTTGTATGTTGTTTTTTTTTTGCCTTTTTACTGGTGAAAATCAATATCGGCTTAACAGACAACAGAAACAGCATTGCAGCATTCGTTTAAGTTAACTGTACCTTCTTGATGGAGATAACAGCTTCCTGTGTCTCTACATCTGTGGTGACCTTGAAGAGCTCCCCTTCCTCTTTGATCAGATAGCTCATGTCTGTGTTCTCTCCCATGTCTGCATCTGTTGCAATGACGCGTCCAACTGGTGTCCCCACAGCGGCCCCCTCTGACACAGAAAACTGGTACATCTCTGGTACATGGAGTAGGTGGCCGAAGGTGGAAATCGCATTGACGGATAAAACAAGGAGAGTTTGGTTTAGCAAATCAACAGAGGGAAGACCTGAAAGAAAACCAGCGTAGGAGTAATAGAACACCACAAAAGAGGAAGGATGAGAGACAAAGGCGACGTGGAGAAGAAGAGGAAAAACAACGGCAGTGGAGGAAAGATAGATGGATGGCTGTAGGTGGAGAGGTTGGAAGTGAGAATAGTGGTAGAGGAGATGGATTGGGAGCAGAAACAGAAAAGAAGGAGGAGGAAGGGATGAGAGAGTAACAAAGATAAAGAAGCTAAAGAGAGGAAGAGACGGGTAGTGAACAAAATGAAGTTGGGTTGGGATTGTAATGAATGAACAGCAACAAGTAGACCTCAGGCGGTTATTGTAGGTGTGACGATTGCATTCACATAAAAGGGAGTGTGCAAAATAATATTTTGTCCGTACACATCAATGTCTTCCATCTGAACACATGACAGTAAACAGTAGCCCTACTTGTATCGCTGTTAAAATATAATTACATCAATTTAATAATCAATTGTAACTGTGTTGAAATTACATTAATAAAAGATAACAACAACAAAGCAGGTATTATAGTTCGTAATCTGCAAGTTCAATTATATGATGACTATTATTTGTGCTGACACATGTAGGCAATCCTAAATCTGAAGTTCTGTTCAAATGACAGAACAGACTGAATAAAAAGTATACGATCTGCCAGAGTCCATTATGAACAAGATACAAAGATAAAAGCAAAAAAGATGAAACTTTATGTGAACACATCAAAGTCCTTACATATACAGAATGTCATCTTCCCTTGCATCTTATTTATGAAGCTGCTTTCCAATCTCTTTATATTCCCTCACACCACACTGATGATACTGTAATCCTGCAGGGTTTATCCCTCTGACTGGATAAATAGGATTTACTGAGATGGAAAAAAAGGATTTGTACAGAAATAAGAAAAGGTGTGTGGAGGCATATCAAATACAATCCACCAGGTTGTCAGATCCTGTTCCCTCTGCTGTAACAGAAGTAACAGTCTTCTGGTTTAAATCTAAAAAAAGAGGGCAAAATGAAGAGTAGAAATGAAAGCAAGAAAAGGAAGTGGCCAACTATTTTAGTATTTTATTCATGAATATATTAATAACATGTCAGTAATTGGGAAGAACATTAGTGGCGAGGGAAATCTGACTTTTAAATGCACTCACTTTTTATTGTGCTACAAGTACTTCTGTTGGTCCAATATGTCAAAAAATAAATGAGACTCTTGAAGCTGTTTGCTCTGAGGAGACTTTCTTTTAACTCTTTGTGTGGTGAGCTGCATGTTTTACCTGTTACGCATCTGTGCAATTAAAAGATAAGTAAAAGCTATTCAGCCCCAAAACGACCTGACCATCATAAACACGTAACATTACGATGAGGGAACAATAAACAGTATTGATTAAGTCATCTCTTGAGCCTCGCTTCAAAAGACGTATCAATTCTCCACACTTTGTTAGGTGCTACAGGTTCATAGACTCATGAATTTAACTTAGTTGACTTTCTTGGACTACACACAGGCCATTCGTTATGGTCTCTGATGCCGCCACTGCATATTGGTGTCAGTGGCCAGCAGGTTGTAAACTATATTGCGTGTCTTTTATCATCCTCTCAGTGTTTCTCATGTGTCGGCTCATTGCTCTCCTCCATCGCTGAACTCTCACTTTGGTCTTTTACATTCTCAGACATTTCCTACCTGTGTCTCACCGTCTCTGTCACTTGCCCTAAAGTAAGATCATGTGCAGGAGACACTCACTCTGTGGGAAGCGCGGCGGGTTGTCATTAACATCTGTGATCACTATGGTCACCGTGGTGGAGCCGGAGAGGCCGCCCATTTGTCCTGCCATGTCTGTTGCCTTGACGACCAATTCATACCGTTCCTGCGTCTCACGATCCAAATCTGCCACTGCTGTCATGATGATTCCTAATGCGTGAGGGATGGAGGAGAGATCGAAGGAGAGAGACAAGAGCGAGAGAGTGGGGAAAAGTAGGAGTAGTAAGTGAGGTCACGGGAAAGGTTGCATTAGTGATTAGCAGTTATATAAGCACTGTATTATGGAGACATACAATGTATATGCAGCACATTCCACTTCCCCTCCTCAGGCTGGCTGGATTGAAGAGATCGTGTCACAGTTGCACCTCTGCTCATACAACATTTTTTATGGCTCAGCTGTATTAAAAGGAATAATATATAGGGGTGGAATGAAGGCATGCCTCAGTCACACCGACTGGCATCAAAACTCATCCAATGAAGACTGCACTAAAACTTAAGAAGTGTATCTCCAAAGGGCAAGCAAGGGACATGGAGAAAGTGATATAATATATATATATATATATATATATAGAGAGAGAGAGAGAGAGAGAGAGAGAGAGAGAGAGAGAGAGAGAACTGTATGCAATGGCATTGTTCACTCCAGAGTGCATATTCTGTTGCATTTTAGCACAGTTAGTGGTGAGATGAAAACAGAATCTGTCGGCAACAGAACAAGATTTTGGCATCGGCAGCGTTCTGGTTTCCATTTGAAGTCTGTTTGAAGTCCAAGTGCTATTGTTTAGGAGGCTTCGGTGGCAGAAGAGTTTAAACGGCTATCGTCTGACAACGATCTAGCTTAAACATACTGGCAACTTGTGACGCAATCCGGTTGTAGAGGTCATCTCTCAACTTTTTTCTCGCATCTCAAGTTGCTAATCGGATTGAAGACAATGACCGGGTATGGGAAAGTGTCGATCCAGATATCAGTTATCCAGATATCCACTGTCTACACTGGAACCACAGAGACATTGGACCTTGTCTCCAGAGGCTTATCGTGGTCAGACTGAGCCAATAGGTTCCGAGATTATATGTTAGATGTGACTCTGGACCACAATGTCTTGTTGTCATCAGGACGAAAAAATATGGCATTTGCCACCTGAAGTTTCCATAAAAACTATATTTGGTTACTCAAACAGCCAGTACTGTGGTCTCTCTATCTATATCTGTCTCTATCACAAACTAGCACATAGTTCTTCTTGGTTTAAAAGATACATTCTCATTCTTGGCCCAGTAGCAGCAGCATCAGTAGCTGGCTGGTTTACTGTGCAATAGTAATATAATTCCACTTTACCCCTTGGGATTTTCCATATCAGAATCTATTGATGCATTTCCTGGGCTTGGTGTGCTGTCTCACTCCCAAAGGTTTGCATTGTGTTGGGTACACAACTCACTGATTCACATTTAGCACAGGGCCATGTTCTATGAGTAGCCAAAATATAGTACATGCAGCACTGGAGTCAAGGAGGGAGACAGATGACATGCTCCTCTTCCATCCACCAAAGGCCAGAGGGGATGCATCTAAATTAGGGTTGTCACAAGTACAGGCCCAATCCGCAGCTAGTATACAGCACCATTGCTCCAACATCATGGTAGAGACTATATGTAGATGGGTCTACATGGACTGAATGAATGCAGTCAGTTAAGTCTATGCGATCCACATTCCAATGCATATCAAGGAGCCTTAACATTAACCAATTTAACACAGTAATAGGGCCGCGTACGCCGACTGTGAAATAGAGCAGCCTCAGTATGATAATGCATTGCATTAATATTAAAAAAGGATGATGTTCGAATATTTTTTTACTTATATCAATTGCATTTCTGTTCTTATCTCGCGAGGCAATGAAAATCGAATTCTACTGTGTATCTACAAAACTATCTATCCTGCCATTTGGGTCTTGGCTACTTTACAAATTGAGAAGAAATATGTTGTATTTCCAGATAAAGGATGCAGTGTTAGTTGGTTTTTTTGTGTCTATTAGTAGTTATTGGCTGAAACTTTATAATATGCTTGTTTTTGGCCAATTTATTATATGGTTTTGGCCACAGAATTTTGATTGATCTGGGAATTGTGGTCTCCAGGCTTGACATTGATTAATGTTTTGTAACAAAAGAGAAGAAGCACAAACACAGTAGCAGGAGTAGGGAGGGCTGAATGTGTTGCTGTTATAATTCTTACCTGTGTGTCTGTCAACAGTGAAAATCTTTTCTCCATCCAGTACATTGTACACCACTCTGGCACTGCTGCCGTATGCAGGGTCATCAGCATCTGATGCAGTAACCTTCATAACGGATGTTCCTGTTGAAAAGAGACGACATTTTGTCAAACAATAAATAAATAAAAGCTTCTGAGCCAGGAGGCCACTGGGGAAACTTTAGACAAGTGCTGGAATTGTACACTGTGGAAGGGCTGATGTGGGAATGTGGGTGTTTATTCCATGCGTCAGTCTGTGTCTATGCGTGTGTGTGTGTGCGTGTGTGTATGTAAAACTCAACTTACAATGTACTTATATCTTTGCAAGGACCAATATGAGTTGAAGACGTTGAGAGTGAGGAGATTTGTTCAAAGTAGTGCCCGTACTTACTCTTCTGAAGAGCGGCCTGAGGGCAACGCATTGTTGTTATGGTTCAACAAAGATTTTGGTTTAGGTCAAGGTTAAGAGAGACGGGTAAAAGTTGGGGTTAAGCACACAGATGTGATGATTACAGGGTTGTGAGCTAGGGAATGCAGCACATTGATATGGAGGACTCACAAGTAAAGTAACAGCAATGAATGTGAATGAGTTTGTGCCGAGACCTGTTTGTGTGTACTTGCATACTCTGTGATTATACTTGGGAGGGACAGGTTAATGCATTTAGATGTCCCTGCACCAGGTAGCTATTTTATCTCGTTTTTTAAACAAATTTGTTGTTGTGTTGAAATTACCTTTTCGCTACACCGATGCTCAGAGCTGTCTTTGCCTCTCATCGGCAAGGAAGTTGCACTCAGAGATGAAAGGAAACATGGAGGCATAAAGTCAACATTTATCTTCAAAGACTGTTAGAAGCTGAAGAAATCTACAACAAACAATTACTTGTGATTACCGCGCTTAGGCAGAGAATAGAATAATTTTCACATGAAGCCTCAAAATTTGAATTTGTGGAGCAGGTGTTAAAGTAATTATTTCCAGAGTAGTATATTTGTCAACAGTATGCATACACAAGCCCATGGCAGCAAATAGACTGGCACATCTCTCCATTTAGTCACACATTTTAGTGAAAGATCGGCCTAAAGCCTTTAAAACTTCATTTTTCGGTTAGGAAACAACTGCATACTTGCCTTTTAGCAAATGAGCATTTTCTTTTCTTTCTATAAATAATTTCACTCTCAGGAAAAATAAAATAAAAAGGGAGACGTTACTGGGCGCCATAGGTCCTCAAGGACAAGAAGTCGGTCTTTGTCTCCATGCTTCTGGCCAATGCTACGGGTAATTACTGACAGCTGGTGTTGTCCACCAAAGGTCACCGCTGAAGCCTTTCTCAGAGCCCTGTCATGCTACTGTCCAGCCACATAATGGCCATATGCTAATGATGCTAATTAGCGGGAAGTGTCAGAGCACTGTTTGTTTCCTGTCATCCAATGGAGCTCTTAAGGGGCAAAGAGGGAAGGAGAGGCCAGTGGATTATCATTAAAGTCAGCTGGCCATTAAATCAGACAGCTCAGATCACTATCCTGTTACTGTCGCCGATAGCACTCTTTTCTTCGCCCCTTGATGTCGATAGGAACTGGCCCGTTTGCATTCGAACAGCATATGAACAGCATACGACACAATATTCTACCTGGTCGATGATAAGAGTGAAATAAATGAGGGTGTTCAGTTTTGCAGCTTTTCTGATCTGCATGGAATGTGACAAATTAGCTCAAAGATAAATTATCCTGAGAAACAATTGGTGTGAAATGGGATAAGTGAGGACACAGAAATGGATGGAGGGATGGGTGGATCAGCGTTCCTCCAGCATGTGCAATTCCAAAGAATCACGAATTCTGGCACCGTCAACAGCCTTGTATCCCGATATATTGCCGCTCCCAGTGGATTCAAAGGCACTGCATGTTAAATAGGATGGAATGAGCCTTTAATTCATATTCTGAGTTGTACAATACAGTCATTACTCCATCCAAACATACCAAAGTGCACACCACCCTGATCCTTAGAAGATCAAGATAAGCTGCATCTCAGTTGGGGGATGAGTGAGATATCGTCCTTATCATATTGAAAACACAAGGCTGTATAGGTATTTTCATTACTGGCAGCAGGCAGGGGAGAGCTAATTCTGCCTACATGGTTGGCCTTACCGCTGTGGGTCCAACAAAGTCATTTTCGTCCATGGGATTACTCCCTTATCTTAATTTTCCCCAGGTAACAATCAGTTTGATGCTCAGCTGTTTCTGGGTAAAGGCTTGCAGCAACGTCAGATGGCTTGGAAGAACTATATAAATGCAAATGCTTCTTTATTGTGTTTATATTAAAAAGAGAAGTGAACCGGGGAGTTTGGCACTTGGGTTCTTATTGAAGCTCTGGCCTGCATCAGTGTTTTTAGTGGGAGAAGTCATTACTTACAGTATCTGTTGGCGTGGTTGGAATCTCACTTAAGCAGATTCTACTGTTGATGGAGTTGTGGGAATTCAATAAAAATTATTGACTTTCTCAGATTCGAATGTAATGCATATTGGAATAGGAGAAGTATGTCTAATGGAGAGAAGCTCCAGATATTCATTAGCTCAAGAGTTGTTTTTCTCTCACCAGCTAAAACTTCAATCACAAATTGCTCTCAGATGAGACACCACGCACCGTAGCAATAATAATTTTAATTACCAAAATATACAGGTTTGTTTCTCTTTATTCCCCCTGATGGGCACATTTGTTTTGGATGAGTTTTTTTGGTTTCATTATACAACAAAACTGTATTTTTTCTCTCAACATATCTATGCAATAACATCAATGATGAAATTGAATGACCCAGTCAATTATACCGTCTGTTAGTGCTGTTATTGCATATTTAAACATCACTTCAAACTTTTTGTTATCAATCAATGGTTGATATTCTCTTCTTACTGAAATGGTGTAGCCAGGTGTGTGTGTGTGTGTGTGTTTATTATAGTGCATTACTGTTGGGTGACCTGGTGAGTTCAAAATTGCCCTCTGACTTCTGGTTGCAATTGTCAACCAGAAGCCAGAGGGCCTGGGAACAACACGTTTAGAATTGTGACACTTGCTGAACAGATGGATATTTATTCACCTCACTTGCCTTCAGAGCCTGCAGATATTTACACCATCAAAACAACATTAACATAGAAAAGTCAGCAACGTGCTAATTCTTTCAAATGTAACACAAGTGATTTTCAGTATAATAATTAAATGATATGACAGCAAATTCCTTTTTTGTTATGTTTCCCTCGCATTCACCAAAGCATTCATGAGAACAGTGTTTTGCAAGGTTTCTCATTGCCGTGCAACTTTAACGAGTACCGGGCTGGGCTAATCATTTAACCCTCTAGCAGAGCAAAATGCTTCAGACATAATTGGGGTTGAATACCAGCTGTTTATTTCACGATTCTTACCACTTCTATTATATTATTAATGTTTCTATAATTCTATTGTTAAAGTATAACACCTCTTTAATGCACTAAAAAGTCCCAGCAGGTATGTGAGTTTAGCAACTAATGAAGTAAAGACAATATGCTTAGAATTTGCAGCTCAGACATTAGTCCTTTCTATGAATCTTTCTATGAATTAGTCTGTTTCTTACTCTTAACATGACAGAAGCAACAGTCATCACAACATATTAACATACAGTCTGTGTTGCAAATGATCTTTAAGAAGCAAACTGTTTCTCTCAAAGGATTATGTAAATAACATTCAGATGCAAAGTAACCCTGGGACCATCTCTGGTTAAATGGAGTAAGAAGTAGGGTTGTTTTTTTGGGCGTGGAGGATTCCGTGGTGGGCGAAGATAGCTATATCGTTAGATTTATGCACAAGTTTGGTTTAATGGTATCAACACAGGCTGTCGGAATGGCTTCCCACACTATTTCAGCTCTCTGGGAGAGATGGTTCAATTACTGTGAGGGGAGCTGGAGGAGTTTGCCACGTGTGAGACACTAGACTGACAGCTATTTAAGAGGCAGACTCATAAAAGAGATTTGTGCCTATCTCAGCTGGTGTGGTACTGATGCGAGCTTCAGTGGAGGGGTCTAACGGCTGCGGCACCGAGCCTCTTTTCCCGCTACGACCCGCCTTAATCTGCAGGACTGAGTGCTCCCCGCCCGCATTATGGATCATTTAGTAAAGCCATAAAAACTGAGGTGTTTTCACATGAAAAGTTATTTCTTCACTACTTCCACTGTGATTCATTCCTCTCTCCACATAAATGCCCCAGGAGAGAGAGGCGGGGAGAGAACGAGGGAGAGAGAATAAGGGTGAGAGAGAATGAAGACTAAAGGGGAGAAAAGTCTGCCATGTCATGAATGCCAATGGCCTGCTTACCTTGATTCTCTTCCAAGAATTTGAGGATATTTTTCACTTTTTCTGACATATATTGTAAATCTATTCTTTGTTAGTCTTTGAACATTTATATTTTAAAATATTTTTTGGAGACAATATTGTGGGCCAGCATGGCATGTCAACTTTACATTTGAATATCTTATTAATTTTAAGCATTTGACTCCAGACAAACAATGGCAGAAGTTGCTATTCTAGAAGAGTAAACAATGAGGAACAAAACCTTTCCTGTGCAGAAACCTTTCGACACCCTTGGATCTGCAAGCCAGGTATCAAACTTTTGATGCTTTGCTTGATCATATCTCTACAATAATGAAACAATTAAAAGTCCTAATTCATTTCACTATGTGAATCAATCGTGTCATGCTTCCTCACACACTGAATCACTCTCTCTATCTCTCTCTCTCTCTCTCCATCCCTCTCTTTGCCACATACACACTGATTCATACACATGGCCACACACACATATCAGCCCAAATCAATTATGTCAAGCACTGTGGTTAGGCACATAATGGTGGATGTTACTGGTCATATACATAAAGGAGGTTGGCAGAGAATATTGATTGTAAGCTGCTCCTGCCTTGTCGCATTGCTCTCTCCTGTGATTCTGCTGCTCTAAATGTCTCATCTTCTGTTAGCATGACAGGCCCCAGCTGTCCTAATGGTGACTGCAGTAATGTGCAGCCTCCTGGGCAACCTCTCTGGACCACAGCAACAGGAAGGGTGATTATTACTTTAATCCAGTTGTGGAGGTCTCACA